TCAACGCACAACAGCTGAAACGTTGTAATAACAACAACGTAGATGAAGACATAATATGAAATACGTTTATCGCACCTTTAGTACTGGTGATAGTATTAAATGAAATATTTAATCGTTATTATTATTATTATCATTAATTAAAGACAGAAAAGAGCATAGAGTATAGTAATATCGTGTTAGCATTTTAGAAATGTTAGTATTCAAGTAAAGAGAAAAAGTACAGAGACTCTATTGTAGTAGTAGTAGTAGTAGTAGTAGATTTACTAGTAGTAGTAGCAGTAGTAGAATTATTTTTAGTAGTAATAGTAAAAGAATTAGTAACAGTAGTAGTAGAAGTAGTAACAGTAGTAGGAGTAGTAGTCGAAGTAGTAGAAGTAATAACAGAAGTAGTATAATTATTAATAGTAGTAGCAGTAGAAGTAGTAGTTGTTGTAGTAGTAGTATAGCAGTAGAAGTAATAGTAGTAGAAGTAGTATAAGTAGTAGTAGTAGTAGCAGTAGAAGTAGTAGCAGTATTAGTAGTAGTAGAAGTAGTAGTAGTAGCAGTAGAAATATAGCAATAGTAGTAATAGTAGTACTAACAGTAGAAGTAGTAGTAGAAGTAGTAGCAGTAGAAGGGAAGTAGTAGTAGCAGTATTAGTATCGCAATAGTATGAGTAGTAGTAGTAGTAGAAGTAGTAGCAATAGTAGAGTAGTAGTAGAAGTAGTAGCAGGAGTAGTAATAGAAGTAGAAGTTGTAATGTTGATATTTCTCGACTTTCAAGTCATTATTATTATTATAACTGTCATTTTATTTCCTCGACTGTCCCTGGTGGGGGACATTTCTTATATCCAATTTATCAGAGGGAATAAAGTTGGTTAATGTAGAGGTTTTACATTTATTGTCTTAGAATTATTGTCTCGGAATTTATTGTCTTGGAATTTATTGTCTTGGAGTGCCTTGTTTTGAAAAGAAAAGAAACAAGAAATCATTTGGTCCTATGAAACTAAGAAAATCCATTTCGAATCACAATTAGCAAAAAAAGATGATAAGGGATAATAATATAGGAAAATACAATGAAGAGAGGCCAGGTCGTTTTCATTGTTGATTTGTTGCATTTATTTTCATGAATATACTTCTTCAATGACAACTTTATAGTCGTAATCTTGACTTAAACAGCATTAAGTCACCAATTTGTAGCAGCGTTGACCAATTTGTTGAAGGGGGGATATTTTCTCGAGATATAGGGAGATATGTATTTATGTGATATATTGTAATGAAGGTATTATTGTGGACGCATGAGGGCCTTTTTAACAGGAGATAGTTTAGTGATAGTATTGTGTTGTATGCAACACGTTGCTCGCTAGGGGAAAGGAGACACGTCTTGTTCCTAGGCGAAGAGTGAACGAAGAGAAAAAGAATTTGTGATATTTCTATTTATTCTACTTTATACAATGCCACCAAGTGGACGTTAAGGGCCGAGTGGTTAGAACGTTCGCATTCTGTCCATGAGAACCGGGTTCGAATTTCACCATGGTCGATTTATCAGGAAAGAGACTTCCTGATGTTATCGGACTGGAGGGTTCGATCCCAGCGTGCGGCACCTTTGGAAAGTACCTGAAAACCATATCAATGTTTAACCCAAGCTTTGAGAGTGGAATTGGGTAGATGGAATTGGAGACCGTCAATAACTGTGCTAGCACTAAGTCACAAGTCATCTTGGCCGAGGGCTTGAGTGTGCTGACCTTGTGCAAATTGTTGATCACGCTAGATGACACGCTCTTTCCTAGAAACTGGAACTAAGGTCTGCTTAGCATAGTTGCAGTATAAACCACAGCTGGGCTCTGTGAGTGTTGAATGAACACAAATGCTCCTGAGCAAGTGTCTGCAATAGGGATTGGCTAGTCGCCCTAGGAGACTGGTGTCCTCGTATACGAGTGGCCACCTATATACTTTATACAATGCCACCTGGTGAGCCTTAGGATATAGCAGTGTGGAATTACAACAAGGAAATTGTTGCAATCCCACACTGCTATATCAGAGACAAGACGCGTGGCTCAGGTGAATAGATATGACGAAAGAGAAAAGACACTAACACCGGGCAATTATCACTGATAATGTTTTCTCAGCATCTTGTAATTCTAAAAGGACCGATAAAAACAATGATTGATATCAGTAATCATTAATATTCGATGTGAAATTAATGCGATATTTCTCATATTTCAAACTGGATTCTTCGTATTCGTTGACGCAAAGCAATCGGTGTTCATTTAAATTTAATTTAAATGTATGTCCTTTCAAAATATTTACTGTCTTTATTGAAAAAAAGACATGTTTGGAGTCACTTAATTATCTCTAAAAGCAGTAAACAATTAATCACTTTTTCTTCCGAATTGTTGCATCGTGAAAAAGTCAACTGATTTAACTCTATTTCTTTCTTTTTCCTATTTAATTTCCCCTCTTCACCCGTCTCTCTGATGGCCTTCGATACGACTATTTCCTCTCGTTCCAAGTTATTTAGCGTTGTGTTAATGGCAAACGTTTATATCAGCCAGTATCTAACCTTACACAAACCAATATAAACGTTTTTGTGTTTTAATATCTGAAGTTGTTTTACTGTCTGAATAAATACCGTATGGAAGCCATTAGTAAAAAAAAAAAAAAAAAATCGAAAGTATTGTAAGGCTTCAGCAACAGCAATGAGAAAGGGAAACGTGGCGATGAATGAAGTCAAACGGGAGAGCGGAAACAACACCATCAGCAGTAAGAAGGCAAAGGAGAAGAGAGTTTTCTTCTTCTTCTTCTTCTTCTTCTTCTTCTTATTATTATTATTATTATTATTATTATTATTATTATTATTATATTTACATACGCTCTATCTCTGATATTGAGCACTTTATCCCATAAATATAGCACAACTTAAAACTATATTTTTTATATATATATATATATATATATATATATATATATATATATATATATATATATATATACAGCAGTACAGCATCGCGTTTTTCTGGAAGTGAATTGCGTCATGGTGCTTTTTTTCTCACAGTCGACTTTACATTACAGTCGACAAAAAATCAAAACAAACAATGCGCCTGCGCTGAATTATAAATACAAAATGGCAAATAATTTACACATCGTATCCTATACATACATACATACATACATACATATATATATATATATATATATATATATATATATATATATATACATATATATATATATATTGTTGTAGAGTGGTGTCACAGTGGAGGCTTGTATTTGTACTAAGTCGATCCTAAAATATGTTCGACGTACAAAACGTTAGGAACTTGATATAATAGGTAATGACGCAGAGAAATCTAGTTGAAGTCGCTGATACTTTTAGTATCCGACTAACGGTCGTCCGACATCGACTGACTGACAAACTCCTGAGCGACTTCGCGACTGACTCGTTACTCTTACCACTCCTTCTTATTATAAGTGGGAGAGTCTATTAACTATAGAATAGGTGTGTTTCCCTATAGCATCCTCGTTTGAGTACAATCGCGACAATTCCTCAATTGATTACGACCATAACAATTTCGCATTTGATTACAATCACAACAATTCCTCATTTGATTACAATCATGATAATTCCACATTAGATTACAATAAGGACAATTCCTTATTTGATTACAATAAGGACAATTCCTCGTTAATTACAATAAGGACAATTTCGCATTTGATTGCAATCACGACAATTCCTCATTAGATTACAACCACGACAATTTCTCGTTTGATTACAATCATGACAATTTCGCATTTGATTACAATCACGACAATTCCTCATTTGATTACAACCATGACAATTTCACATTTGATTACAATTACGACAATTCCTCATATGATTACAATCATGACAATTCCTCATTTGATTACAATCATGTCAATTCCTCATTTGATTACAATCATGTCAATTCATTATTTGATTAAAATCATGACAATTCCTCATTTGATTACAATCATGACAATTCCTCATTAGATTACAATAAGGGCAATTCCTCATTTGATTACAATCATGTCAATTCCTCATTTGATTACAATCATGTCAATTCCTCATTTTATTACAATCATGACAATTCCTCATTTCATAACAATCATGTCAATTCCTCATTTGATTACAATCATGCCAATTCCTTATTTGATTACAATCATCACAATTCCTCATTTGATTACAATCATGTCAATTCCTCATTTGATTACAATCATGTCAATTCCTCATTTGATAACAATCATGTCAATTCCTTATTTGATTACAATCATCACAATTCCTCATTTGATTACAATCATGTCAATTCCTCATTTGATTAAAATCATGTCAATTCCTCATTTGATAACAATCATGACAATTCCTCATTTGATTACAATCATGACAATTCCTCGTTTGATTACAATCATGTCAATTCCTCATTCGATTACAATCATGTAAATTCCTCATTTGATTAAAATCATGACAATTCCTCATTAGATTACAATAAGGACAATTCCTCATTTATTTACAATAAGGACAATTCCTCGGTGATGACAATAAGGACAATTTCGCATTTGATTACAATCACGACAATTCCTCATTAGATTACAACCATTATAATTCCTCGTTTGATTACAATCATGTCAATTCCTCATTTGATAACAATCATGACAATTCCTCGTTTGATTACAATCATGTCAATTCCTCATTTGATTACAATAAGAACAATTCCTCGTTTGATTACAATCATGTGAATTCCTTATAAGATTAAAATAAGGACAATTCCTCATTTGATTACAATGAAGGAAAATTCCTCGTTGATTACAATAAGGACAATTTCGCATTTGATTACAATCATGACAATAACTCATTAGATTACAACCACGATAATTCCTCGTTTGATTACGATTATGTCAATTCCTCATTTGATTACAATCAGGACAATTCCTCGTTTGATTACAATCACGACAATTCCTCCTTTGATTACAATCATGACAATTTCTCATTAGATTACAATAAGGACAATTCCTCGTTGATTACAATAAGGACAATTTCGCATTTGATTACAATCACGACAATTCTTCGTTTGATTACAATCACGACAATTCCTCATTTGATTACAATCATGTCAATTCCTCATTCGATTACAATCATGACAATTCCTCGTTTGATTACAATCATGACGATTCCTCGTTTGATTACAATCACGACAATTCCTCGTTTGATTACAATCACGACAATTCCTCGTTTGATTACAATCATGACAATTCCTCGTTTGATTACAATCACAATTCCTCGTTTGATTACAATCATGACGATTCCTCGTTTGATTACAATCATGTCAATTCTTCGTTTGATTACAATCATGACGATTCTTCGTTTGATTACAATCATGACGATTCCTCGTTTGATTACAATCCTGACAATTCCTCGTTTGATTACAATCATGACGATTCCTCATTTGATTACAATCACGACAATTCCTCGTTTGATTACAATCACGACAATTCCTCGTTTGATTACAATCATGACAATTCCTCGTTTGATTACAATCACGACAATTCCTCGTTTGATTACAATCACGACAATTCTTCGTTTGATTACAATCATGACGATTCTTGGTTTGATTACAATCATGACGATTCCTCGTTTGATTACAATCATGACAATTCTTCGTTTGATTACAATCATGACAATTCTTCGTTTGATTACCATTATGAAGATTCTTCGTTTGATTACAATCATGACAATTCTTCGTTTGATTACAATCACGACAATTCTTCGTTTGATTACAATCACGAGAATTCCTCGTTTGATTACAATCACGACAATTCCTCGTTTGATTACAATCACGACAATTCTTCGTTTGATTACAATCACGACAATTCCTCGTTTGATTACAATCACGACAATTCCTCGTTTGATTACAATCACGACAATTCTTCGTTTGATTACAATCATGACAATTCTTCGTTTGATTACAATCATGACAATTCGTTTGATTACAATCATGACAATTCTCGTTTGATTACAATCATGAAAATTCCTCGTTTGATTACAATCATGACGATTCCTCGTTTGATTACAATCATTACAATCATGACAATTCCTCGTTTGATTACGATCACGACAATTCCTCATTTGAATACAATCACGACAATTCTTCGTTTGATTACAATCACGACAATTCCTCGTTTGATTACAATCACGACAATTCCTCGTTTGATTACAATCATGACGATTCTTCGTTTGATTACAATCATGACGTTTGATTACAATCACGACAATTCGTTTGATTACAATCATGTTTGATTGCGGTAATCACAATTCCTTTGTTTGATTACAATCACGATAATTCTTCGTTTGATTACAATCACGACAATTCTTCGTTTGATTACAATCATGAAGATTCTTCGTTTGATTACAATCACGACATTATTCTTCGTTTGATTACAATCACGACAATTCATTATTCTTCGTTTGATTACAATCACGACAATTCTCGTTTGATTACAATCATGACAATTCCTCGTTTGATTACAATCATGACGATTCTCGTTTGATTACAATTCTTCGTTTGATTAATCAATCACGATTACAATCAATTCTCGTTTGATTACAATCATGACAATTCTTCGTTTGATTACAATCATGACGATTCTTCGTTTGATTACAATCATGACGATTCCTCGTTTGATTACAATCATGACAATTCTCGTTTGATTACAATCTCGTTTGATTACAATCATGACAATTCTTCGTTTGATTACAATCATGACGATTCCTCGTTTGATTACAATCATGACAATTCCTCGTTTGATTACAATCATGACAATTCCTCGTTTGATTACAATCATGAAAATTCTTCGTTTGATTACAATCATGACGATTCCTCGTTTGATTACAATCATGTCAATTCCTCGTTTGATTACAATCATGACAATTCCTCGTTTGATTACGATCACGACAATTCCTCATTTGATTACAATCACGATTACAATTTCAATTACAATCACGACAATTCGTTTGATTACAATCACGACAATTCTCAATCACGTTTTTGATTACAATCACGACAATTCCTCGTTTGATTACAATCATGACGATTCATCGTTTGATTACAATCATGATTACAATTGACTTCGTTTGATTACAATCATGAAAATTCCTCGTTTGATTACAATCATGACGATTCCTCGTTTGATTACAATCATGACAATTCTTCGTTTGATTACAATCATGACAATTCTTTGATTACGTTTGATTTGATTAAATCACGACAATTCTTCGTTTGATTACAATCACGACAATTCCTCGTTTGATTACAATCACGACAATTCCTCGTTTGATTACAATCACGACAATTCTTCGTTTGATTACAATCATGACGATTCCTCGTTTGATTACAATCATGACAATTCCTCGTTTGATTACAATCATGACAATTCCTCGTTTGATTACAATCATGGTGATTCTTCGTTTGATTATATTTCGATTGCAATTCGACAATCGTTTGATTACAATCACGACAATTCCTCGTTTGATTACAATCACGACAATTCGTTTGATTACAATCACGACAATTCTCGTTTGATTACAATCACGACAATTCTTCGTTTGATTACAATCATTTGATTCCTCGTTTGATTACAATCGATTCTTCGTTTGATTACAGTCATCATGACGTTTGATTACAATCGTTTGATTACATTCATGACAATTCCTCGTTTGATTACAATCATGATAATTCTCGTTTGATTACAATCACGATTACAATCAATTCTTCGTTTGATTACAATCATGACGATTCTTCGTTTGATTACAATCATGACGATTCTTCGTTTGATTACAATCATGACGATTCCTCGTTTGATTACAATCATGACAATTCGATTACAATCATGACAATTCTTCGTTTGATTACAATCATGACAATTCTTCGTTTGATTACAATCATGACGATTCCTCGTTTGATTACAATTCCTCGTTTGATTACAATCATGACAATTCCTCGTTTGATTACAATCATGACAATTCCTCGTTTGATTACAATCATGACAATTCTTCGTTTGATTACAATCATGACAATTCCTCGTTTGATTACAATCACGACAATTCTTCATTTGATTACAATCACGACAATTCCTCGTTTGATTACAATCACGACAATTCCTCGTTTGATTACAATGACGAATCATTTGATTACAATTCCTCGTTTGATTACAATCATGACAATTCCTTGTTTGATTACAATCATTACAATCATGAATTCTCGTTTGATTACAATCATGACAATTCTTCGTTTGATTACAATCATGACGATTCTTCGTTTGATTACAATCATGACAATTCCTCGTTTGATTACAATCATGACAATTCTTCGTTTGATTACAATCATGACGATTCCTCATTTGATTACAATCATGACAATTCCTCGTTTGATTACAATCACGACAATTCCTCGTTTGATTACAATCACGACAATTCTTCGTTTGATTACAATCACGACAATTCTTCGTTTGATTACAATCACGACGATTCCTCATTTGATTACAATCATGACAATTCCTCGTTTGATTACAATCACGACAATTCCTCGTTTGATTACAATCACGACAATTCTTCGTTTGATTACAATCATGACAATTCCTCGTTTGGTTACAATCACGACAATTCCTCGTTTGATTGCAATAATGGCAATTCCTCGTATGATTACAATCTTGACAATTCCTCATTTCATTAAAATATTGACAATTCCTCATTTCATTACAATCATGACAGTACCTCATTATTTTCTCGTAATGAAGATTTTTTTCTCTTACTTTCGTTACATTTCTGAAAACTTTCAATCAAGGGGTAAAATAATTTTTCCCAATATTAGTACCTTTCACCAGTTTACTTCATTGTCTCGGCAATATTTAGTCTTAAATATTTAGTCTTTAATATTCCCAATCTGTTTACTGTCGTTCGTGAAATGACATTTCATACTTAAATGTTGAATGTTTGTTCCACGATTATTTTATAACGGATATCAACGGCAAACAGATTTGGTCTTCTTCCAAAATATCTTCTTCATTTGCAAAATAAATTGAATGAAGCCATTGTTCTCATCGGAAACATCAAAATGGAATAAAACTGATATATTTGTATGAATGACGTTATTCGTCTGGGTTTTTCGTTTTATGCATCAAAATATTTTCCAATTTGCTGAAGATATGTTGAAGGAATATAAAAACAAATTCAGTCATGAATCGAGAATCGGCCTCGCGAACAAAATTTAGTCAAATAGTTTTCAAGGAAGCATAAATGGAAATCTCTACAAGCTGAAATTAAAAACAGAGAACAGGTAGTTGACAGAGGTATTCATTCGTGAACATTTTATAACCTTAAAGTGAATCATCATCTTTCTCCTCACCAGTGATTAATGATGTCTTTTTGCGAAATGATGAGCCAAAACGAAGAAACTTATTTCAGAAAACTTCAAATCCACAAGTGGAATTCATATATTTCATGACTTCAAGCACACACGCATACACACGAACAGAAGTGTATAGATGTGTGTGCACGTACGTGAAATAAGACATTCAATTCGGTGTAATTATCTTCTGCACATATTGCGTGTGCATGCATGTGCGGGTTTTCACAAACATACAAACATATATGCAGATATGTATGAGGGTACGAACTTGTTTTTAAAAGTAAACTTTTTATTCAAATTCCTTATACAGTGGAACCTCGGTTCACGAAGTTAATTCGTTCCTGAAGTTCGTTCGTAAACCGAAATGTTCGTAAACATAAACTATTTTTCCAATATGAATCAATGTAGAGAAAAAATTCACAGTACAATAAAACTGGAAAAGAAAAGCACGTCACAACACACGAATGTATGACAATTCTCATTTGATTAAAATCATAACAATTCCTCATTTGAGTAAAATCATAACAATTCCTTGTTTGATCACAATCATAACAATTGTCCGTATGTTTACAATAGGACAATTCCTCATTTGATTAAAATCATAACAATTCCATATTTGATTAAAATCATGACAATTTCTCGTTTGATTACAATAATGGCAATTCTTCATTTGATTAAAATCATAACAATTTCTCATTTGATTAAAATCATAACAATTCCTCTTTGATTAAAATCATGACAATTTCTCGTTTGATTACAATAATGTCAATTCTTCATTTGATTAAAATCATGACAATTCCTCATTTGATTAAAATCATGACAATTTCTCGTTTGATTACAATCATGGCAATTCTTCATTTGATTGAAACCATAACAATTTCTCATTTGATTAAAATCATAACAATTCCTCATTTGATTAAAACCATAACAATTTCTCATTTGATTAAAATCATAACAATTCCTCATTTGATTAAAATCATTACAATTCCTCATTTGATTAAAATTATTACAATTCCTCATTTGATTAAAATCATGACAATTTCTCGTTTGATTAAATAATGTCAATTCTTCATTTGATTAAAATCATAACAATTCCTCATTTGATTAAAATCATGACAATTTCTTGTTTGATTACAATCATGGCAATTCTTCATTTGATTAAAAACCATAACAATTTCTCATTTGATTAAAACCATAACAATTTCTCATTTGATTAAAATCATAACAATTCCTCATTTGATTAAAACCATAACAATTTCTCATTTGATTAAAATCATAACAATTCCTCATTTGATTAAAATCATCACAATTCCTCATTTGATTAAAATCATAACAATTCCTCATTTGTTTAAAATCATGACAATTTCTCGTTTGATTACAATCATGGCAATTCTTCATTTGATTACAATCGTGGCAATTCCTCATTTGATTACATTCATGACAATTCCTTCTTATTTTCACGTAATGAAGATTTTTTTTCTCATATTTCCGGGTAATTTTCTGAAGACTTTTATTCTACGGCTACAATACGGCAGTCGCCTCAGAAATTATTTCGTTCGGGATAACTCAGTTCGGCAATCTTGTTCGAGAACCGAAATTTTGTTCGATAACCGAGGCATTTTCATCTCGAATTTTCCATTCGAAAATCGATTTGTTCGACATTTGAGACATTCGATAACCGAGGTTCCGCTGCATTGTGATTTACTAAGCGAAGCTTAATTGTGGCAAAATACTGGAAATATCGAAGTCACAATTCAGTTGCAATTAATCTCGTGAGACATGCTTGTTAACCATTACACCACTTGGAATTACCCAACAAATTCCTTGTATAATTGAAATTCATAGTTAAAAATATTAAGCGTACGTATTATGCCTAAATCAGCCTATTAATCAT